ACAGCCGAACCCATGTGCCCTGAAGCAGCCAGCAGGTGTACGAATGACGCCCGTAATTTCTCCAACCTCAGAACACCTCCACCCTCCCTAGTACTGCAAAAAAACGCCTACAGCCACCAGTCAAGCAGCTGAGCGTGGCGTTGTAGCTGATGAGATCCGGTGCCAAGGCGGCTGCTGGAATCTGCCGGAACCTTCTTCCCAAAGCTAATGGTGTCCAAGAAGCTTTGGGATTTTAGTGCGTGCACTTCGTTTTTTGGCTGTTGAAGCGGCTTTAGGGCCTCTAAAATTCATGGCTTCATCAGGCTCTGAGAGGGTTTCTGGCTTGTGGATCAGGCGGCCAAGCGCTTTGGAATTCAGAGATTATTCATGGACTAAGGTTGAGAGATAGGGCTTCCAAAGAGTTTTTACGGATTCTGGTAGGATCTTAAAGACTTCATACTTCTGACCATTAGTGGATCTTACTTCTTATTCTGTAGGGCTCTGCATTAAAATGTCCTTCATGTTCTGAAAATCCCTTTAATTCTGAAGCCCCATGAGACCAGGATAAGGAGCCCTCTAGTAAGACATCTGCCGGAAAACCCTTCTTGTCAAACCACCAATACCTGGACCGCAAAAGTATGTAGAATGATAGCCTTTTTGAAGGTTTGGGCCATTATTTTCCCTACTTGTGGGGGTCTAGGTAGTCCTATGCATCTGAGGCCCACCTGCAATAACAAAAACTGCAGCTTCCGTTCCGATTCCCTTCTTCGTCTGTCGGGCTACGAGTCATAAGCAAACCCCAAAAGGTCTTAAGTAGCCACATGGGGGATACTTTCCAAACCATAACAGTTCATGCTGTACCAACCGTACTTTCTACTATATTGTAGGTACTGAGGACGTTAAGGGACTCTCATTTTATGAAGCCCAGGAGCAATCCCAGCGCTTGCTGCCATTGCGCATCTCGCTGGCACGCGCTGATGGCTGCGCTGTAACCTTTACGCAAGGTCCGGGCTACCAAAAGCTCTTGCTTAGATCTATACATAATGTGTATTACACCATATATGTATGTGTATGTATGTATGTATATATATATATATATATACATGTGCACCTCACCGGGTCTCTTCCCATCGGTTGCGGGTTACGATTCTTCCTCGTTTACAAGGCATGGAGTACCATCTTCTGAATCAAAATCAGAGGCTCTGCACATCTTCACCTGTACCCAATACCAGAAAGCCCAAACTCTGCGGTTAATGTTCATTCCTGAATCAATGTACGAACCTGATTCAGAAACCCTGGGCCTATAACCCCAAAGCAGCAGGGTTCATAAACGGAACCCTGATAAAGGCCCAAGGTTTCTTACCCAGGTTCCTACATTATTGGGCCCCTCGGTTCGGACTCCCACCGGAACGTCCGAGAGTTCGACGGGTCCGACAAGCTTCTTTCGGACCGCGCATTGGAATTCCTTTTGTAGACCTAAGCGTAGTAACCTAGGAAGATAAAAGGGTGCCCGTTTTGGTTTACAGGGGGGGTATTAAGGGAAGGGAATAACGGCCTACTCTGGGTCCTAGGTTTGGGTTTAAAAACCTAATTAGGCCGGGAGCTGAGTCCTTTGGGTCTTTGGTTCTGAAGCCCTGAAGCTGTATCTCTACAACCCCGTGCTAGAGCCCTAACCAGTAAACCTTGAACTCAAAGTTCTCCTAACCCCAAAACATCGTTAGCCAAACGGCTGATCACATCCGGAGAAAGCTTGCATGCCTGGGCACCGCATTTGTTGCTTCGACTTCATTGCTGACGTTTTTCGACGGATCTAAACAACACAAAGTCTGTCTCCAGGCTGGCGAAAAGATATATGAAGGCTTGAAGACTTGTCTGCGGAAATTCTCTCCGGATTTCGCGGTTTAGGGATTGGGGTTTTAAGTTCAGGTTTGGGCTTTGTTGCTTCGTCCTGAGAATGTTTGTCTGCTCTTGGTTTGCCTTCTGGCTGTCAGGTTTAGGATCTCGGGGGCACAACAAAACTGTAGCAGGGTGCTTAGTGCCTAAAAAGGGATTGCTTACACGCCAAGCCCTACTTCGCACCATACGGGCACTGAGGACCCTTTAGGAGAGCAAACAGTTTTCGAGTCGGGCTGCCTTCATTCGGTCGAACAAGTGCAGGGAGGCATCCCAGCGTTTGGCTTGGCCGCATGCACTGATGCCTAGCGCCGTGCAGAATCAGAAAAGCCCCAAAGCATCTACTGGGCCGGCTATCATATGACTATAACTCTCTTCTCCAATAACCAGGCCCAAACAAAGTTCAAACTTTTTAAGCTAGACCAAATATGTAAAGCCAAAAAGTTTAAAGTTCTCCAATAGGCTAAGTAAGATAACTTTAAGCCTCATATGGGAGCTTCTGTAAAATACAGTAGGGGTACCTTAGACTTGGGCTCCTTTTAATAAGGATCCTACTATTTAGGGTACTATACTGGGGTCCCCTATTTTCGGAAACTCTCATATAATAGCTCCCACGCCCACCACGCCCGTTGCAACTGCGACCTGGACTTGTCAGTCTAGGCGTCGAAAGCAGGCCTGACGATACTTGGGGTAGAAGGTCTCCTTGACCTTACAGCCCTCAATTCTGAACCTCGTATTCCTACAAACTCGACAACTCTGAACCCTGAAACTCTAAACTCGTAACCCGTTGCAACCCTCAACTCTATGCCTTTTATCCCTACAAACCCTACAGCTCTGCTGAAAGCCTAAACTCTCAACCCCACTGCAAACCCACTAAAACTCTGGACCTGAAAACCTTAGACCCTGAACCCGGTAAGCCCTTAAAAGCCAGAAAGTTGGAATATGATTATCCTAACCCCTTTATGGTAAATTATGAGGTATCCTACCCTAAAACCATATTCCAACTTTCTGGAGTTCCCTTACTAGACGCTCACCCATATGGGGGTTTCCGAAAACTAGGGGTACCTTATTTTGGGGGTCCTTGTAGTAAGGATCCTACTATTTAGGGTACTATATTGGGGTCCCCTATTTTCGGAAACTTTCATATAAGCCATAGCTAAGCCCGAACACCCTGAGCCCCGAGACCCCTGAGGCGCCTATGGAGAAGTGCGCCGGAACGAGCTGCATCTGACCATCTGCTTCGAAAACTTCCAGCAAGCCGAAGACCAAGTCGGATCGCTTCTCCTGAGCTCTGAAGGGCTTGGGGGGGGGGCTGAGGGTTTAGGGGCTTAGGGTTTAGGGGGGATGGTCCATTTTCGTTAGTCGTTCCTTTTCGGGGCTACGTTATAGGATCCTGACCCAAACAGGAATTACAATGGAGACAAGTACAATTCTGTAGGGGTATTATCGAATGTAACCGTACTGGCAGTCTTCTGCAGCGTCCTGCTCAGCGCCACGTGTCTTGTTGCATGTACTATACCCGTGCAGCAAGTGTGAGTCAGTAAATTCAACCAATGTTGGGGCCTTAATGATTAGAATAGTGTTCTGGGGGCTCCTTATTTTCATCATAGTATAGTATACCCCCAAACCCTACTCTATTTACTAAGGCGCCTACATTGACAAGTGCAGTCGGGAGTCTTTTTTGAGCTTCTGCAATACCTGAATGACGGCTTTGGGCTTCTGTCGCCAATCCGGGATCTTCGCCGCCACCGCTTCTCTTAACCTAGGTTCTGCAGCTCTTGAAGACATGGATTCCCTTTCTGACCGCTCAATAATAAACCCTGCCGCAGGACTAATCCGCAAGGTTCCATGTGAACTTCTGGAGTGTATACTCGGACCTCATTGCAAAAGTAATCCCCTTATGGCGAAATTTAGTCATGACCAAAGTATCAGTGTATGTATATATATATATATGCGTATATACATGGCTGCATGAACCCTGAGTCAGCGAAACAAAAACATGCTACCACTGGACAGCCCAATAACGTCGACGTGCTGGGTGTCTTCTCTAGGCACAGTAAGCTGTCGAGAAGGCTGCTGGAAGCCAGACGCCGACGCCCGGCACAGGACAGAACATGAGCACCATGTGAAAACATGCCTTCGACCCAAGAAGAGTAACCTAGGAACAAAAAAGGTGCCCTTTTTGGTTTAAAGGGAGTTCTACGGGAACTTGAACCTTAAAACGGAATAAGGGCCTACTCTGGGTCCTAGTTATGGTGGTCTACGGTTCCTGAAAGCCTGAATAAATCTGACAGCGCCGATAACCCTGCAACCTGCTGTATGTAGTACTGGGCCTCTAAAGAATCGAGCCAAAACTGCAAAGTGGTCGTTGGCTGAAGCCGGAAGAATAAACAGCACGTCAAGAGAGTCTGATCAAAGGCACACGGATTTTTCCGTGGGTCCATGGGCTCGGGGGATACATACGCTGGACAGCTGCCAATATGAGCAACACTTCTCGAGGTTTGACGAGTGAGCTAGGTGGAGAAACACAGGGCCCCATTATCAGCAACATTGAAATACCCCCTAAAGCACACCAATCAAAGTTGTTGAGGTTGAGGGTTTGGGCTTTTAAGGTGTATAAGCTTGAGGGCAGCAGCTGCACAAGCAATCACAATTTCTGAGTGCTTAGCGTTCTACTTGTACTACCTGTGGTGATGTCCGAGTTGCCCTAATTTGCAAGACTTACAAAAACACGGTGCTTCAAACCTTGCACCCCTGAATACTAAACCGTAGACCCCTAAACCCAAAACCGTGAATTCCAAGAAAAGCATGAATCCCGCAAACCTCGCACTGTCAGGGCGTCTTAGGGCTCAGACCCCTTGGCGGAGCCCCCAAAAACTCTCAAGTTTCGTTCAGAAGCATTTCAGAAGGCAGTCCTACCCTGAACTTGAAGCCCGGGTTTAGGATTTTGCGCTTAGGGTTGACAGAGTAGGGTTGAGGGGCCCCTACAGGATCCCTTAAAAGATCACTTTACAAGGAGCCCTGTACAGGAACCCTAAACCCTAAACCTTCAACCCTAAACCCTAAACCCTAACACCCCACCCCCCCCCAGACGCTCCTTAAAGCAACCCCGCAGGGCTTCCCCGGACCTCATTTCGATGATCTGGTGGCTTCCCGGCAAGTCGAACCTGGCGGGTTTTAGTCTAGACTTAAGGGTAACCTAGGAATAAAAAGGGTACTATAAGGGCTCCTTTAAGGGATCCATAGGGGTTTAGGGCTTAGGGTTTAGGGACCTAAGAGTAACCTAGGAATAAAAAGGGTGCCCTTTTTGGTTTAAAGGGGGTTACAAGGGAATCTCAACCTTAAGAAAGGGAATAAGGGCCTACTCTGGGTCCTAGTTAGTGCACCTAGGCTCAGGGTTTATGGGGTTTAGGTTTTAACAAGTGCTTAGGGTTTAGTGCTTATAGGGTTGATAGATATCATCGGGCTCTCAGGGAATCGCAGAGGTGCTTGCGAGAGGAACCTGTGACAGGCAGACACCGGGCTTGAAAGCTCAGCCCTTTGAAGCTTAGCCGCTGCAAAGCAAATATTCCCTAACCTTAAGCCCTAAAACCCGAAAACCCTAAACCCTAAAACCCTAAACCCTAAAACCCTCAAACCCTAAATCTCTCCTTCATATAGTAATTTAAACCTTAATGGAATTCGTGGGACAGGCCCAAACTTCCAGACCTTAATGGAATTCGTGGGACCTTAATGGAATTCGTGGGACAGGCCCAAATCAATTCGTGGGACAGGCCCAATTCCAGACAAACCTTAATGGAATTCGTGGGACAGGCCCAAACTTCCAGACCAACATTAATGGAATTCGTGGGACAGGCCCAAACCAATTCGTGGGACAGGCCCAATTCCAGACCAACCTTAATGGAATTCGTGGGACAGGCCCAAACTTCCAGACCAACCTTAATGGAATTCGTGGGACAGGCCCAAACCAATTCGTGGGACAGGCCCAAATCCGGACCAACCTTAATGGAATTCGTGGGACAGGCCGAAACCAATTCGTGGGACAGGCCCAAACGAATTCGTGGGACAGGCCCAAACTTCCAGACCAACCTTAATGGAATTCGTGGGACAGGCCCAAACCAATTCGTGGGACAGGCCCAATTCCAGACCAACCTTAATGGAATTCGTGGGACAGGCCCAAACCAATTCGTGGGACAGGCCCAAACGAATTCGTGGGACAGGCCCAATTCCAGACCAACCTTAATGGAATTCGTGGGACAGGCCCAAACCAATTCGTGGGACAGGCCCAAACGAATTCGTGGGACAGGCCCAATTCCAGACCAACCTTAATGGAATTCGTGGGACAGGCCCAAACCAATTCGTGGGACAGGCCCAATTCCAGACCAACCTTAATGGAATTCGTGGGACAGGCCCAAACCAATTCGTGGGACATGCCCAAATGAATTCGTGGGACCGGCCCAATTCCAGACCAACCTTAATGGAATTCGTGGGACAGGCCCAAACCAATCCGTGGGACAGGTCCAATTCCAGACCAACCTTAATGGAATTCGTGGGACAGGCCCAAACCAATTCGTGGGACAGGCCCAAACGAATTCGTGGGACAGGCCCAATTCCAAACCAACCTTAATGTTTCAAAGTTCAGGGTTTAAGGGTTCAGAGTTTAAGGGTTCAGGGTTTAAGGGTTCAGGGTTTAAGGTTTCAAGCTGTGAAAGAAGTGAATCTCTGTATTTCCCTGATGTTATGGGATTCTAAGGGTGGGTGGGTGTTATTTCTAAACCGTAAACACAACTCTACTTTAAAACTGCTCGATCCGGAGCTGCTGAACCCCAAACCCTAAACCCTAAAACCCTAAACCCTGAACCCTAAAACCCTAAGCCCTAAAACCCTCAAGCCTCAAACCCTAAACCCTAAACCCTAAACCCTAAAACCCTAAACCCTCAAACCCTAAACCCTAAAAACCTAAAACCCTCAAACCCTAAACCCTAAAACCCTAAACCCTAAAACACTAAAACCCTCAAACCCTCAAACCCTAAACCCTGAACCCTAAAACCCTAAACCCTAAAACCCTCAAACCCTCAAACCCTAAACCCTAAACCCTAAAACCCTAAAACCCTAAACCCTAAAAGCCTAAACCCTAAACCCTAAAACCCTAAACCCTGAAACCCTGAAACCCTAAACCCTAAACCCATGTAGGGTGCTTGCACGACAGCGACTGGGAGGCCCAGGCGATGGCTACCCACTCACTACTGCTGATGGACAAAATCCTGCATGACCCTAAGGACTCTAAACCACTGGAACTATGGTATATTCCTTATAATGGGTAATGCAGGGTTTATATGCCTAAACCCTACAGATCCCCTAAAGGAGCCCCCTTAAAGGTACCAACCGTAGCTTATAATGGGTAATGCAGGATTTTGTCCATCAGCAGTAGGACTACGCTTCCATGGGGACCTTGGAGGATCATGGGATTTCGTAACTAAGGAGGGGTTTAGGGCTTTAGGGTATAGGTTCTGAAGGGTTTAGGATTTTAGGGTTTAGGGGTTTAGGGTATAGGTTCTGAAGGGTTTAGGATTTTAGGGTTTGGGGTTTAGGGGTTTAGGGTATAGGTTCTGAAGGGTTTAGGATTTTAGGGTTTGGGGTTTAGGGGTTTAGGGTATAGGTTCTGAAGGGTTTAGGATTTTAGGGTTTGGGGTTTAGGGGTTTAGGGTATAGGTTCTGAAGGGTTTAGGATTTTAGGGTTTGGGGTTTAGGGGTTTAGGGTATAGGTTCTGAAGGGTTTAGGATTTTAGGGTTTGGGGTTTAGGGGTTTAGGGTTTAGGGGTTTAGGATTTTAGGGTTTGGCGTTTTAGGGTTTGGGATGGTTTAGGGACTAAGCACGCGAAACAAACAATCGAAACCCAAGGACCCAGCCCCACCTATTCCATCACATTGCTGCACAACGCCAAATCCTCGAACTCCAAACCCCAACGTCTTGGACCCCCTAAACGCCTCAACCCCACACCCTGGAAAAGTACCCTTGCAATGGCCTGTTGTCATACTTCGGGCCGCCAAGTTGGCAAAGTGGTAAAGCCCTAAAACCCTGCTTCTCTGGGTCATCAGCTGGATGAGATCCGACGCTCCGAGGTAGCTGGAGGAGTCCTGGTTCTCACATAGACTTCGGATTTGGGGGGGATGTAGGTTTAGGTTTTAAAGTTTAAGGGTTTGGGTGTGTTTGGAATTTTGTTGGGGTGGGCCTTGAGGTAGATAAGGGGCCGTATCCTGAAGTCTTCAACCTACGATTTCTGGAAGCTTCCACAGACGAGGGGCCCCTGCTGCTGCATGAGCTCTACATCGTAAGACCGTGTGGGACATCTATCATGAAGACTCGCTAGATCTCGCTAGAATCCAGAACCCCAGGCCCCACGTTGCACAACTCCACACTTCTCCGTTTATTCCAAAACCGGTATTACTTTTTTGATCCAAAGTAAGCTTTGGCTGTTGGAGCCTTACTTGGAGGTTAGGGGGTAGTTATCTGTAGAGTCATAAGTCCACTGGTATGGGGGTATAAGTATAGTTTCCCTGCTTATAACCCTACTTATACAACTAACCATGACCCCTAAACCATATACCCTTGTCGAATCCCTATAGATCCCTTTGAAGAACCCCTATGAACCCTCCTTATATCACTAGCCATGAACCCCCAAGTAGGCCGTCTATGGATCAACGGTCCTGATCGGGGACGAAGATGGCCGAAGGCTCCTGCACTGCGAGCCCCTCAACCCTGCCGGTTTAGGGTTTAGGGTTTCGGGTTTAGGATTTAGGGGTTTAGGGTTTAGGGTTTAGTCCAATCTGGACCCTAAAGAAGAACCTACAGTACCTTTTTTGGGGGGCTCCTTAAGTCGATGTCCATTAATACCTACCTGTTTACCGTTCCTTAACTCGATTTCCTTAAACTAGCGTTTCTAGGGTTCCGTATCGTCGTTTTCCTTAGAAAAGTCCTGAAAGAGCTAAGTTATTTTGGGGCCCAGGTAAGCCCTTAACCCTGTGACCCCTCAACCCTAGATCCTATAGACCCTAGACCCGGGAGCTGATATTTTCTTGGCGCTACCAAAAGTAAAGGCTTGACTTAACCGAACCTACAAACTTTGAATGTGGTGGCCCCAAGGTGTCAGCAGTGAGGGTGTTGGGTTAGGGCTCCATGGTGCTTTTGAATCCTACTTGTCGGGTATCATGGGGGACCAAAAGTTAGCCTTTTTGGTTATACAGGGATTATATAGGGACTATACTACCCCAAAAAAGGTTAAAGGTTACCTACTCTGCTACTAGGGAATAGGATGGAATAGGGGGTCCCGGGGCTTCGGACACATCTTGCCAGCACAAACTCCAAGACCTTTAGCCCTCAAACCTTCAGCTGTAAATCCGCACACCCGCTGACATAGCTCAAACCTCTTGATTGAGGGTGGGTGCCACGACAAAGCCTGCAAGGGTTTGAGCATTTGCCGTCAGTATTGCAGATTTTGCCGTCCGGAGTCTGTAGTACGGTAAGGATCACTCGGTTGGGCAATATCCGACACCCTAAACCCTAAACCCTTCTTACCTTCTCCGAAAAAAGGGACTCTGCAGGAGCGTGCAGCGCCGGCGCTCCTGAGGCGCATTCAGCTGTGTCAGCAGCCTGGCACAGCTAAACCAATCAAGCTTGAAATTCCCATCAACAGTATGCCTAGTCGGAGGTTCCGAAGTATAAGTTACTAGTTACAAGTGGGGTTCCAAGTCCCCGATTATGGGTTATAACTATAGTTATCCTGCTTATAACCCGACTTGTAACTAGCCATGAACCTCCAAGCAGGGTCAGGGTTTAGACTTCAGGGAAGTTTACGGCATAAGGCTTACGGTCTGTGTACTGAGGATTCCACTGGTTGGGGACTAGATTCGGGGATTCCCACACTTGTGGTGAAACTCTTCCGGGGGAAACAAACACATCGAAGGACACAAGCGTGTCCATCAAGAAAAACGATGCTGATTGCTTCCGGCTTTTCTCGGGTTGAGGGTTAAATCACCTATGATAATCTCAAGATGACCAGTCTACCTAAATATGCCCTGAATTTCCACGGAACCCCTAAATCCCAAGCCCAAAATGCCACTAGGTCCCTGAAGTTCCTAAACCATAAGAGCTGGCCGGTCGGACGTAACGCAGCGGACTACCCCGCGAATCTGCGAGGTGACGTTGAGATAAGCCGCCAGCGAAGTAGACCTGGTTCAGGATTAGGGCTTATGGTTTAGGGGTATGTAATTACAAAGGGTGAATTAGGGCTTAGGGTTTAGGGCTTTGGGGCCGGGTTTCGGATTTATAGGGCTTCAAGCTTTGGTGTTTAGGGTTATGTCTCCAGACCAATCGGGACTGCTTGAATTGGGGGCCTGAATGATGGGAGTAGGGCTCCTTGTACAGGATTCGTTTAAAGAGTTGTTATCATGGTCATGACACAGGAGTGATAGAGAAGCGTTCATAAACAAGATAGGGTTTGGGGTCATATTGCATCATATTGCTGAACTTTAAGGAATAATATTGGCAGTCATTCTGGCATCTATACTATTAACTGGTTTTAACCTGTTAAACAATTCAATGTAAGAGGTGGTGCTAGGCCAGGGCTTTTGCAACAATTGCAGGGGTTGAGGCTTTAGGGTCTGTCGGGTTTAGATGTCAGGGCTAGCAATCAGTGAGTGTGACTATGCTGTTGAATGCGGCTACTACACCATAGATGTAAGCTTACACTGTTAAATGTCCCTTCAATCCTAAACACGACTTAAACCCTGACCCTCTCCCCCCGAGGATTGAACCAACTGATACCGATACATATATATATATATATACATACACATACTTATGTGTGTGTATATACTCAGCATCCTGGACCGCACATCATAAGCCCTATATAAGCCTTCAGACCGTATCTCTCAACTAACCGGAGAGTGGTGCCACTTACTGGGTTCCCGTGCGCGTTGGTCTCCGATGCGAAGAGGTCCGTCAGCACATCGAGTGACCTCAGGGGTGTTGGCCTTTGGTTGAGGGGTGTTTGTTCGCGGTCCAAGGCCTGATTGCTTTGCCATGACGGGCTTCAGGTATAGCAAGGTTGAGGTTTAGGGGTGGAAAAGGAGGGTCTTCCCCCACGAATGCCATACTGTATAGGGCATCGGGGCTTTGTGCCCACAAGACTGAAGGGCCGGTAGTTGCGTATGGCGCGGACGTTTACAGGGGTTACGGTTAAGGGATATATGGTTCAGGGCTTAGGCTGTGGGGTGTGATCTGTTTTATGTCTCAAAAAGCTTATGAATGTGTTCGCAGGCTTTACATCTTTTTCTTGAAGCTTATGCCTCCTTGGTGGCAATGGTTGACTCGAAGAGTCCGGGCTTAGTGTTCGAAGCTGTTGAAGTTGGGGATTAGGCCTCAGCATGGGCGTTACAACAATACTCTTTAGCAATACCGTACGTAGCGCACCGTTCAGCTTACCGCGCCGAACAGGCTGGGTGGACAAAATGCCATATCGTACCGAACCAAACTGTTCGCTGCCTACACCCCCCCTAACACCGCCTCCACACACGTACAACCCAGGCACCCCTATTACCCCTACATCCCCTGCACCCCTCACCTAGTGGTAGCCGCTGTGCTCCTCACTCGACTTAGAGGGGCGTTAAGGATTCTTCTAACAGCCCAAGCCTCCGATTTCGGATTACAGGTGCTCCATAAGGCTTTACGGGGTTAGGGATTTAAAGGCTTAGATAGAGGGGCTTGGTGGGCTTCGAACAGTTGAGTTGAAGGAATGTTCAGACGCTTTGAAATTCAATGGCGATTTTTTTTTGTTGAGCTCCTTTTTTCGAGGGCTTAGGCTTGGACCAAGTTCAGGCTTTCGTTGGCTTATGTTTCTCCGTGCTGCAGGGAGCTTCTGGCTTTCGGAATTGGGCACCGTGCAAAAATGCCCCTCTCCTTCTATATATATATATAATATATATATATATATATATATATATATATATATATATATATGTACATATGTACTTAATCAGGCACCTCCTTTGTACCCTGTCTCGTCCGCTGCATTCCTCTTCTCGCCGGGCATGCGCTTCGCATCTTGAAGACAACTTCTCCGTTGATCACGACTTCGCTGCCGCGGACCACTAAGAATGCCGACCAAGTGCTTTGTGCGGGGAAGGCGAAGACTGCCCGCAACTGCTCCTGCCATAGGGCTGGCTTCAAGAGGCCTTGTTTATGCCATTGGGGCTGTAGGACTTTCGCTTCGATCGCCGAAGACATGAACAGCCAGTGTATTGATGCCGGCCGTGCTGCCCCGGCAGATCCTGCTGCCAGCCTGTTCCTAGGAACGAAGCAAAGCTCGAAAGCTGAAGCCCCCTAAGGCTAAAACCCTAAAGTCCTAAACCTCGAAAGGCCGATTACAGAGTGAATAGGTTTGGAGGGCTGGCAGGCTCGAGGTGTAAGGGCGGAGAGCAGGGCTTGGGGTGTAGGGGTGGGGGGTGTTGGGGGGATACCGCACTGCATCTTCTTGGTGCTTTCTATACTTACTGGAAGTAATACCGAGTAGTATCGCACCGCATCAGTTCGTGACAGCCATGAAGCAGTTTAAGGGTTGGCAGTATCGGGGGTTTCAGTTTGGGATTCAAGCTTTAACCAGGTTGTGGGATTTCGGGGTTAGGGCTTCGGGCTCTCTAGCTTCATGCAACTATGTCCTGGTCTTAGCAAGGGGTTCAGCCAGCCGCGAACCATACGGATCCTTGAGTAGAGCGTATATTTACACAAAAACGAACCATTGAAGACCCTCTTTTCAAATCGTAAGATCCTGACCACGTTTAAGGGTCCTTGAAAAAGGTGCCCTGAACGAGTAAGTCAAAGGAGGTTTAAGTCATGGCAGACTTCGAGGCTCATGACATGTACGCGTCAGGGTTCCCTCTAGGATACCCAGTAACCTAAGAATAAAAAGGCCTCTCTTTTTGGTATTGAGTAACTTTATAAGGAACCTAGGACTACAAAAAGGGAATAAGGGTACTAGTTACTACTGGGCATCCTAGGTTCTGGGATGTTCAGAGTTCACCCCAGGGTCTCAGTCCAATCCAGTACCTTGAAACGCTGTGGGCCGCCCGGCGGAAAGATGGGCCCGATCGGATTGAAAATGGGAGTGGTGTCCTCGCGTTGCGGGTCTTTTCCGAGATTCTAGATTTTGCAATCCTCAACTGCCTCTACGAAAAAGCTGTCTCCTTTCCCGTTTGGGCCAAGGTTAACTTCACCTTTCGGAGTTGGTTTTCGCCGCGCTAGGGCCCTAAGTACGACTTCCCGATCCCTCAGAAAAAAGCCTGACTACACAACCATAAAGCCCCGTAAATCCTTGAACCCCGGACCACTAAACCCTTAAGCCTCAACCCGAAGACCTCAAGCCTTCAAAACAAGAAAGTCACCGGTTTCATGGAATGACCTATAGGTTTAAGCGTTAAACGATCCAGGTGTAGGATTTCGGGTTTGAAGTTTGTTTTCCGCTTCACGTTTCGTGATATTTCTTCAGCGGGCAGCGTGTCGGACCCGCAACCCCAGACCCGAAACTTCCCTAACCTAAACCCTAAACCCCAGAAACCCGAAACCACTAATCCTACCTTAACCTACAAAAAGAAAGTAGGGTTTGGTAGGCTAAGGTACGTCCGGATCCTGCTACATGGTGTCCAGCCTGCAGCATCAGTAGACTTGGGAGCCTCCCCTTCCAGACAGTGGCCCTTCCCTAAGGATCCTTGAAGACGTCCTTCGCGGGTGACTATGAGGGCTCTATAAGGGCTTAGGGATTTAGGGTTTAAGGGCCCATGTACCGCGTGTGGAGTGTGACACGGTGTTGACATCTCACCGTAGCCGACAAGATGCACAGGAAACTGGTTCGCTGGCAACCTTGTGCTATCCTCACGTGCTCAAAACCTGACAACTCAATACCACTCCTTCTTTTCAGTACGAACACGGTTTGAGGCTTCAGAGTTTAGGGCTTAGGAGTTTAGGGTCTAGGGTACCACAAAAGCCAAGAAGCCCTGAGGTGCCAAAGCAAATAATTCGGTTTAGGGCCAAGGGCTCGTTGTTCAGACTGTGCGGGCTGGCTTTGGCTGAGTGCTGTCCGGAAGTGTCCTGCTCGTCCCCGGCATAACACACGACGTAGTCACCGAGGGGCTCTGTATGCCTTGAGGGTTCTAGGGCATGAACTCTTAAGGCTTAGGGCCTTAGGGTTGAAAATGTCCAACAAGTCGGTTGAATAGTCGCTATCGCCTGTCGGCTTGGCTTACCTGGTCCCGATGACCCTCCAAGACTCTCGTTAAGTTTGCATGCAACCGCTACTAAGGACCATAAAAGGCGATTGAAGATCTGAGTTGAGGCTCTACGCATGCGTGGAGAGGAGGGGGGGTGCCTAATAGAGATAAGGGCTTATAGGGTTTAGTGCTTAGGGTTCACAAGGCTCTGCCTTTTTAGGGTTTGCAGGTTTCTTTATAAAGAGACTTGGGTGTAGGGTTGTCTCAACTAGGGTGCCTTACTTCCTTACTTTTGGGCATGAAGCAGCCATATGCCCAAGCCATGAGACCGAGTAAAGACTCAGCATGATATTCCGACCCCTGTATTGAGTGTCGAGCCTGTGCTTGAGTCAACCTTACGACTCTGACTCTCCGAAACCCAAAGCTCTACTTAAGGGCTCAGGGGACTTAGTAAGGCCCTAAGGAGGGCTGAAATTATAACCTTGCATACTATGTCCCTGCAGCCCTGAAGTAGCCCGAAGCCATGCACACTAAACCCTTTCCCGCCAAGGTATAGAACCCTCTTCGGACCTCTCTTGTCGAGACTTGACTTTTGAACCCTAGTTTACGGCTGTGCCAAGCGGCAAGAAACTTCCTGTCCCATTGACGAGTGCCGGGACCTCAGTCTCATCAGTGGGCAGAGGCTTGAAGAGACTAAGCCCTAAATCACAAAACCTGCTTCGCTTTGGAGCTGTAGGGCTTCTGGCGTTAGGGTTTAGGCCTTGGAGCTTGGGAGGGTGTGACATTCTAAGTTTGGTGTCTCTTTGGTACCGGAGCCCTCGGGCACGACAGAGGAAAGTAGTTGTAAATCCCAAACTTTGACACGCCAAAAATGTTCTTCTCCCGAAGTCGTGAAACGATATCAACCCATAGGAATCAATCAACCTATGTTGCCTATACTTGGCCCCAAAAACTTCCACGTAAGAAAGAGAACCGAGCTGTGTACTACGGCTTTATAGGCCTAAAGAGAAGCTTCTGCAAACCCTAAACCCTAAACCCTAAACCGCTGAAGCTTCAAAGCTTGACAGGTTTCGGCTTCTCGCATGTAAAGTCTACGGCTGGGCTGCGGTTCTATCCCAAAGTCTCACCGACCCCGAAGCTGTTGAACCAAAGTATTGGGCACCTGACCCTACCTGGACCCTAAGGAACCTACCTTTTTAGGGTTCCCTAATATGATTTCTTTATATAAGTCCTTAAAAAGGTAGGTTACGTGGGGTTAAGGTAAACCCTAAACCCTCAGCCCCCCTAAAAAATTGGCACTTGGACCTACACCCTAACAACTATTGGGTACCGCCAGCACTTTTGGGCACTGTACTGCCAAACTCTACTTGTGCAAGCCTATGAACCACTTAAACTTCGACAGCAATGCCTAGGCTCCAAGTATAAATGGTACCTAATGTGGGCTATTGCGAGCCCCGGGGAAAACCTTGACCCCTAAACCCCATGCCCCAAGCGCCGTTCCGACATGTACCTGGGGGCCCAACCAGCGAACGCCCTCAACATCAAATCCCGCAAGCCCCTGGACCCTAAAACCTATGTCCTAGGCACGAGATCCTAAACCCTTTCTCCTAAATCCAGAACCCTTATAATTGCTAAACCCTGAACCCCAACTCCTAAACCCTAAACCCCGAATCCTGAAACACATACTAAACTCTGAAGCTTTAAACCGAAGATCTTGTGTTCCGAGCTCCCCACAAAGACCTGCCCGTTCGAGACCGTCCGACCAAATCCCGGCTTGTCCTAAGAGGCGCCAGGCTCAGGGTTTATGAACCCTATGGGAGTCTTAAAGGGGATCCTTCAAGGGATCCTTAGAGGGATCTACAAGGGTCCTAAAAAGGGTTTAGGGTTTATGAACTCTACTTGGAGGTTCAGGGGTAGGCTATAAGTAGGGTTATTAGTCCCCTAATATTTGTTATAAGTATAGTTGCCCTACATATAACCCTACCCATGAACATCCAAGTATGGGAGTTTCCAAAATTTAGGGGCACCTCATAAGGATCCTACTATGTAGGGTTCCGGACTTAGTATTAGTTCAGGATTTGAGGTTTAGTTTAGGGTTTAGGGTTTATGAACCCTATGTGAGTTTCCCAAAAATTCGGTGCACCTTATTTTGGGGGTCCTTAGAATAAGGATCCTACGATTTAGGGTTAAGGATTTGAGGTGTAGTTTAGGGTTTAGGGCTTAGGGTGTCGGATCGAAGGCTTCAGTGTTTAAGTGTTCTCGGGTTTACGGTTGGGGCTCTAGCTTTGGAGGTTTAAGGGCTTTTTGGGGGTTTGATGGTTTAGGGGTTTAGGGGAATACTTGTAGGGGCTTTAGGGCGTTCCGGGTTTAGGGTAGGGTTTAGCGGATCAGGCCTTTACCCAGAGGCCCCATAGTAGTTCCTTTTTTGGGTTACCTTATAGGCTTCTATATATGAACCCCAAAAAGGAACTACTTTGGAGCCTTTGGGTAGGCCTTTTGAGGCTCTAGCGTTCGCGGGTGCAGGGTTTAGAGTTCATGAGTGTCTCAGGAAAAGGTCGTCAGATATTGAGACGGTTTGCAGTTGTGGGTGTGAGGTTTTCCAGCAAGGGTCTGATCAGTGTAGAGCAATCACCCCAAAACAAACAAACGTGACTCGATGAGGTTGTTTTATTCTTGGGGCGGGCTTCGGATTGGTCATGAGCTCCCGGTTGTCGTGGTTAGGTGCTTTCTCGTCGCACGGTTTGTCAGTCCCTCGAATTCAGAGGGAGCGACGGTGGTTTAGGGTTTAATTAGGGGTTTAGAGTTTAAGATGTTGTAATCTCTCGAGAAACATCTTTATCAGGGACCTACAGAGACGACTTGGCTGTGGCAGTTTAACCTAAACCCCTTGGCCTCCAGGCCTGGAGAAAACCGACAGTCCACAGTGCTCCAAACCCTGCGCATGATGGTGCACATCTTATGCCAAATTCACATAAAAAAAATCCCTTTTGCTGGAACCCTAAGACTCCAAGTACACAAATACTACCTACTTTGGGCTCTAAAGTCTATACATGGTATCTACTTTGGGCTATTTGGGGCCTTAGGGGAATAACCTGGAGTCCCATGTTTATGAATCTGGTGCTCTTTCTGGGAAGGGCCTGGAGAATGCGGCAACGCCTGAAGGGTCTCGGGAAAAGGCCTACCTAAAGCCAAAAGGATTCTACCTATAGTCTCCATTGTAATTCTTTTTTTGGTTAACCAGTTTTATGGTTAGGATCCTATAAGGCAAGAGAGATTTTGGTTAACCAAAAAAGGAACTACCATGGAGACTATAGGTAAGCTCCAAACCCTCTGGTTCCCACGCCCGAAACAAACCCCTGGGGCTCCTAATGGCCCAAGGTAGGCACGATTTATAGACTTTCGAACCCAAAGTAGCTATGGTTTTCATACTTGGAGCCCTTGGGAGCAGAAATGCCTGAGGTCCTGGCGATGTCAAAGACCGACTCCTGCTGGTTTGAAGGAGTTTTGGGCTTGAGTGTCGGAGCTTCTGGCAGGATGCCCAGCAACCTGGGAGTAAAAAGGGCTCCCTTTTTGGTACTGGGTAACTTTAAAAGGAACCTAGGACTACAAAAAGGGAATAAGGGTAGTACCGGGCATCCTAGTCTGGGTTCATGGCATGAGACAAAGGGCTCGTAAGGGTTCCTAAAGGGGCTCCGTTGAGGGTTCTACGCAGCTTCTCATCTCTATAAAGGGCATGAGGTAAGGTAAGGGTTTTCCTAAAAGGGCTCCTTTCAAGGTTCTGTAAGGTCTATCTGTGGGTTCCTTTCTTGGGGTTTGGGTTTGGGGATTGGGATTCATAATGTAGGAACCTGATTAAGAAACCCTGGGCCTATAACTCCCAAAATAGTAGGGTTCATAATATAAGGAACCCTAATAAAGGCCCAAGGTTTCTTAATCAGGTTCTTACATTAGGGGCTTCTCGATTTCAGCATGTTCAGGAAGAGCCAGGCCGGTATATTGTTAGGTCCTTGGCAGACCTGCGGCTTAGGGTTTAGGGTTTAGGGCTTACAGAATACAGCCACTACCTGGAGGTTCATGGGTAGTTATAATAAGTACGGCTATAAGTAGGGTTATAAGTACTTATAACCCATCTTACGGGACTTCTAACCCTCCTTTTAACTACCCCTGAACCTCCAAGTACAGCTTGCAGCGCGAAACACTGCACTTCGGTTGGAGTTTGCAGTAGATGTGTCAGGTGGAGGTCAGATACAGTCGACATGTAGAGACAGTACACGCTTTGACCTCGATTTACCTAGAAGGTGGTGCGTAACATCAGCACATTCAACTGCCTTACCGACCTGAACCAAAACCCGAAACCTTAAACCCTCAACCCTAAACCATAACTAAAGGTGCGTGAGGCTTCTAAATAGAGCCAGCCTCTGCGGAGACTCGAGATCCTGGACCTTACCGCACGAATCCCAAACTCAAAATCTCCAACCCTCAGGCCCCAAAGCCTAAATCCAAATCAAATCGTACACCGACTATCTAAGTTCGGCAGGCGGGCCATCCGCGGTGGCGGCGGCGCTGGTGGCTGAAAGACGTTGCACACGACCTGTGACGTTGAAGCGTACCCTAAACCGCATGGAGCTCAGAGTTCCCTGGCCCAATGAAACGCAAAGCTTTCAACTGTGGTAGGGTGACATATAATGTCACAGCCAAATACCTGCTCCACTACGAGGTTTCGCATGGCGCATGAGGCTTTTCGCGCTCGAGGTAGCTTGCGAGTTGCCAAGGTAGAGGTCCCAATTACATTGACAAACTCTAAACACGTCACCTCCAAATCCAGAGTAGCTTATTGCAAGCCGCGGTGGGAAGCTAAATTCGAATGTGAGGTATCCTGGTCCTCGAACTACACTCAAGTGTCGTCACCGTGCCGCTTTCCCACGAGTTGCGACAGGAGCGCTGAACTCTGAAACCAAAGAAGGGCAGAAATGCAGCCAGAAGCCCAGAAACCGCACCTCCCGTTCGATCACGGAATTGACATCCGGCATGTAGGCGACAGCATAGAAGTTGAAGCCCTGTCCGTCCAAACAAGCACTCGAGGGTGGCGAGTAAAAACACAAAACCTAGGAAAGTTGTACTGCGGTTTGAAGAAAGGTAGGGGTTCGCTTCCTCCGTTTTTTTGGGAAGGCTTAGACCTACAGTTGCCGGACTTGCAGTCAGCAGTTATGACTCTAAGCTTGCTATAGGACACGCTTAGGATTTCTGCCTCTCTCACCATGCCTGTAAAACCATGGGGCAAGAGCTTGTCGGAAGGGGAAATTTCGGGGATTTGAATTTGGGTTGCGTGTTCTGGGTGCCGGGCTTTAACATGGAACTGCTAAGATGGTTGTAAGAATATACCCATGAATGTGAATGTTCCAACAAGGTTAGTTCCATAGTTTAAAGAATGTGCTTCGAAGCGACTTTTGGGAGAACTTCTGATATGCCTTTAGTTGAGGTCAACCCCAAACTCTAAGCCCCGAACCCCTCAGTCTTAAACCCCAAAACCACCCCCCCCCTCAAAACAAAAAGTACTAATATTCATACTAACAATACTAACAATACTAACAATACTAATAATACTAATAATACTAATCATACTAATAATGCAAATAATAATACTAATAATACTTTTAACAATAATAACAATAATCATAATAAAACGCACAAACTCGCCTCCAGGTAGAGGGCCGCCTGCAGGTACTGCGAGATCGGCAGGTTCTCCGCACCTTCCTCGCGCAGCATCTCCCTACTTACCACTATGGGCTATTCCCCAAGGGTCCAAATACCCAATAATCATACACTCTCCAAAATCCTAACCTACATAACTACTATCCTAAAGCCGAATACCCAATTATTGGGTCCTTTGGACCCTTGGGGACTTGGGGATTAGACCCTAAAGATCCCTACTAGGACCTTATTAAGGGTAGATTAAGGTACCCATAAGGTCTGATAGCCCATAGTGGTAGACCGGAAGATACCGAGTTTAGGGTTCCCTAAACCCCCTCATTTAAGCTAAAGTCCTCAATTTAAGGGCCTGAGCTCACAATTCAAGGCCCCTCTAAACCCAAATATTCCCAGTTCAAGGGCACTCTAAACCCACAACTCATCATAATCGCAATGCGCTGCTCCTCGTACATCGGGCTCGCTGGGTCCAGCAACACCTGCGGGCAGACCAGGTCCTAACTCTTGAGATATTCAGGTCGTATAATAGAGGAGTTTCCCGAAAATAGGGGACCCTAATATAGTACCCTAAATGGTAGGATCCTTTTCATAATAAGGACCCAAAGATAAAGTGACCCAATTTTCGGAACCTGTCATAAAAATGTCTGTAAACAGTTACCCACCTTATTGCTCAGGGTTCTTAAGTATATCTATAGTATACAGTATACCACAAAAAAAACACATGATCCCGGAGGGCCTCACGATACACCTACCTACCCATAGGCCGGATTACCTTATAAGATTCTAAGTATGAACCCCAAAACGGAACTACTTTGGGGCCTTAGGGTATAGCATGGTATATCCCAGAAAACCCTCTTCCAAAATATTCAGGACACTATATGAATCTCTCTCTTGCTCCGTAACTTGAAAAGATTGACCAAATATGTAAGGCCAACAAGTCTAAAGTTCTCCCATTGGCTGTCCAAGTTATGTCTTCTGGGAATAAGGCCGACATGCGGGTTTTAGGGTTTAGGGCTTTGGGGTTGAGGGAAGGGGTTTGGGGTTTAGGGGTTTAGGGCTTGATTCAGGTTTATGCTTCTGAGTTTGTCGTTTCAGGCTTTAGGGCCTAAGGATTCGGGAAAGTTTGAGGAATACGTTGTTCAAACTCTCGACAGCAAGCCAAAAGTTTCAAACTTCCGTAGTACTAAAGTACGACCAGCAGCTTTACTATAGGTGCCTAGGGTCCAAGCACTCCATGTTATAGGACTTGAGGGCAATTTTTCGGTACCCAAAACCATAAATACGAGCGGAAATATGAGCGACTTGGACCCTTAGCGCCCAAAGCAACCCCAACATCCCCCAACACTAAACCCATTAACTCTCAGGGAGCTTTGAAAGCCTTGGCGGAGCAATCTGCTGTGGAAGCCACGAACTGCTGTGCCTGGGCGAGCGGAAGCCGCTGATTAAGGGTTGGAGGTGTACTTGGAGGTTCAAGGGTAGTTATAAGTAGGGTTCCACGTCCACGAATATGGGTTAACAGTATAGTAATCCGTACTTATAACTAACCATGAACCTCCATGTAGGGTCTACAATCGAATTATCTGGAAGCGGCTGGTAATGGCTGTTAGGGTTCAGGTTTACCATTGATTCAATTCCAGCTGTGGTGCCCTAGACCTACCTTCTTTATGTTCATAGGGTTTGGGGTTCTACAGCTTGGCTAGCCGATTTCCAATACCACACAAACCAACGGGTCACATTATGCATAAAAGATCCCTCCACACACATACACAGACATACATATCTGCATATAGATACACCCTCTATTTGAGGGTAGAGGGACGGTCCTGGGTAAGGGTTACTATGAGGTTCTCGTTAAGAATTGCTATAACACAAAATCTTTCAGGGTTAGGGTTACTATCAGAGATACTGCCTTTCCCCCCTTTGCTGAGTGTCAGACAGTGCTGGCGTCAATTGTTGTGAAGTCCTGCAAGGACGAAGGGCGTTCAGTGTTTTAGGGTTTCGGGCTGTAACAGAGGGGCCTCAATCAGTAGAATAGGGTTTTGTGGGGTATATTCTGATACCATGATTATAAGTAACCTCCAAAATAGTATTGCCACTTGCTTAGGGATTAGGTACTACGGGCTTTCTCTGTAAAGGATGCGGACACAAGGCTGCAGGGCAGGGGATGTTCAGGAGTGCGGCCGCCTGGAAATTCTAAGTTTACACGGACAGTTCAGGTTCAGGGCTTGGGGTTTTCAGGGTTTGGGTTTGAGAAGTCCGTACTGAGCAAGTTCATGTTCGAGTACTTCCCAAACTTCTACGAAAGTATAATGGCAGCGGCCACGGCCATGCTTTTGGCCTACGGGGTGCGGCATGGCATTTGTATCTACTCAAGGTGGCTAGTTCTATGTGAGCCTCCTCTCGTCCACTCATAGTCGACAGGTACAAGCAACCAAAGTGCTCAACCCCAAGCCCAAGCAACACACGCAACAAGCCCGAAGCACCAAACCCCAACCTCTTAATGAGCCCCCAGCCTTGAACCCTAAACCCTTTGAAGAGCTGACGTCTTTCGGAAACACTATCCAGCATCGCGAGTTTCGAACTTTCAGCTAAGCTCCCTGAAAAGGGCCTCTTTAGTTTTGAAAACTGATTTCTGATTGTAGACTATACAAGAACTTACGAAATTGCGTTTTGCGAGCCTCAAAAGCAATGTACTTACCATGCCTGTATCCCAAGTAGCACAGCTCAACCCGACCTCCTCAAGAAGAACCCAGATCGTACATGGTGGACCGGATGTGATTGCCAGTGCAAGATGCGTTTCTTCCGATGAGAGCTCCCTAAACCCTAAACCCTAAACCCTAAACCCTAAACTCTAAACCGGGCATATTCCGAGCCACGTTGCCTTGCCTTCTGAATCCTTGAGACCCTAGATCTCTCAACTGAGGTTTCCCCTCAAGTTGATCACCTTCGGCTCGTGGTTTGCAGTTTACGGAGCCTCCATCCTACGCTGTCGGGTTTAGGGTTTATGGCTGACTGAAGCTTGAAGATACCTATACAGACGTACCTTCACATCCGACCTTGCCATACAGTTGCTTGGAGCATTTCTTAGGCCGCTCACCCTAAGAGACCTAACACCGGAGCCTCAGAACCTATGATACCCTTAAACCCCGAAGCTACAAGGAAACCCTGAACCCCAAACCAAAAAACCTTGAACCCTAGAGCCTAGACCCTGAACCCCATACCCTAAACCCTGAACCCTAAACCCTAGACCTTGAACCCTAGACACTGAACCACATACCCTAAACCCTAAACTTCCAAGAGCTTGACGCCTAATCCTGGCCCCTCGCCTTGTGCACCACGACCTCGTTGCTCTGGGGCAGCTCGTTGCTAACACTCAACCTTGAGCTTGCTTAGGAGTCTAGGGGCTTGGGTGCTTAGGGGTTCAGGGGCATAGGGGTTTAGGGGTTAGGGGCTTTAGTTGTTTATGAGTTTAGGGGCTTAGGGCTTTAGGAGTCTAGGGGCTTTAGTTGTTTAGGGGTTTAGGGTTTAGAGTTTAAGGTCTCCAAGGCAAGCGGCTGCGGGGAGAAGGTCTCAAAGGAGCTTCATTCTTCAAAGCTTAAAGGCTCGGGGGCCAGAAAGTTGTCGGGTCTTTTGTGAGGTGGTTTTTGTTGGTTCTTAGGATGCAAGATGAAGGGAACACGCGGCTCGGTACACCGACCACACTGCCCGGCGAGCGGCTGTGTGTTGGTGCCTCTGGTGGTGGCGATGATGAAGAAGTTACGTAATGATTGCGAACCTGTAGATGACCACGATGATGAGGAGGAAGATTGCTGATGAGGTTCATGACGATGATATGACTACTGTTAATCCGGCTGTTAAACGGCTGCTCTTGGCGGCTTCACAACAGCCACCATTGCTGTACGGCTGCCACGGCCGCGTGGCTTCACGAAAAACTGCAACCCATCCAGGTGTCAAGTCGTAGAGGTATGCCAGTGAAGGTAATAGAACCCCTGAAAAATTCATAGCAACAGTAATAGTAATAATACTTATATTAATAGTAGTGCTTAGTAACAACAATGGTCAGAACCGAATGTTTTGACCTTTTACACTTAGCTTGAAGAAACCTCGCACCAAACCCCAAAGCCAAAGCCTAAACTAAGCCCTAAAGCCCAAACCTCAAACCCTAAACCCAGCTGCCCGAAACCTGAACCCTCGGAGGGGTCTTTGCTTCGGTTTCCGTGAAGACCCAGGGCGCGCACAGCCGGATCTTCGGAACGAAGAATGTCAAGACCTCGGCTTCTTCTTGTGAAGACTTCTTTTTTCAACGGCTTGATAACAGCGGCTGTAGATTTCACCGCATATTGGGAACACTATTTTCCGAAATATCTGTAGATTTCACAAACAGCTCAAGGATTGAGGCTAAGTCTTTACACTTTACGCTTTATCGAAGACCCGAAAACCCTAAAGTCTTAGGGCTCTAGAGCTCTGGGCAAGGGTACAGCTTAGGATTATCCAGTAAACCTTTCAGGGGTTCAGGGTTTAGGTTTACCTACAGTCTCCATGATAGTTCGTGCTGGGGGGCTTTGAACAACATTCTTGGAATCCTATGAAGTAACCCCAACAGGAACTAAAGGTAAATCCTTCAACACCAGAAAATGTTTATGGAAATCTTGTAGAACCCTCCCCCAGAATTTCAGGACCCTGATTCTAGAATCCTGGCTGCTGGGGTCATAGGTAATGTGGAGTTGTTAAAGCCAGTACACCCATCAGGTCTGAGTTATCGTAGGATCGTATCAACAGGCTGGTAAGCATCTCAGATGCAGTACGGAGAATTCAAAATGGCTGGGAGCTTCACGAAAAAAGACGCCGAGATGCAAACCCAACATATTAGGATCCATATTCGCACGACCGCTGCCAAGAACAGCAAGCCTGATCTGCAAAAAATACCTAATGGCTGAACCTTAAATCCTGAATCTTTCACCTTAAACTGGTTTTTGACTTAGTTGCTGAATTCATAAGCGCCAAAAAGTGTACACTTTTAGTTTTATTGTGGGCAATATTATCCCAAAAAGTGTAACGTGTATCCACTCAGCTACGAGGCAGACTTTAGGGTGCCTGAGCCAACCGCTAGAATCCTCAAACTCAAGCGCCAGGCTCAACACCTCAACTCCAAAACCTCGGTTTAGGGCTTGGTTTAGGGTTTTTTAAGTGTAGGTGTTTTTTGGGTTTTAAGTGTAGGGGTTACCGGATGTTGAGTTTAGGGGTTCAGGGTTAAGTTTCCCTAAGGGTCCAAAGGACCCAATAAGTAGGTACTCGGGTTTAGGATAGTAGTTATGTAGGGTACTATATGGGAGAGTATATGATAATTGGGCACTTAGACCCTTAGGGTTTAGGGGTTAAGGTTCAGAGGGCCTCAAGAACGCCGGCTTCACACGCTTCACACGGCGGGTCTAGAGTCTAAAGGCCCGGACACTGGCATTGGAAGTGACCAGCAGATAGCGCCCGCTGTTCTTGTCGCCCTCCAGCAAGGGCTCAAAATATCCCAAATCTATCTAGGTCGAGGGTGCTCGGAATTGGATCCTGAGTATATCACGCTTGAGGTTACGTGAGTGTTTTGCGTTTAGGGTTTGGGGTGATGATGTTGTAAGGAATCTTCGGAAATTGAGGCTGTTCTGGCGTCTATGGTTCCGACAAAGGCAATAAGCGCTATCCCAAGATTTCTAAGGCCGTTTCGGGGCGGCGCGTGCTTCCTGGATGCGCGGAATAATTCTGCATCGGGAAGTGTAACGGCTACCATGAACCCATCTTTCCAAATTGATACGGTGGATGATATAAATCCTGCATTACCTTAAGAACCCTAAACCGTGAGAATTATGATATATTCCTTATTACGGGTAATGCAGGATTTATATCATCAACAGTAGTCATCCAGCAGTCCTCGTGGCTTATGGCTTCTCGGCGCCGAAATCTTGAAAAGCTTTGTAGATGGCCCAGACCTTCCGTCCCGCCCTGCCCAGAACGTGGCCCGGGAATGACTTCGGCAGCGTAGACGATGAGCTGCTACGGCTCCAGTATTCCAGAAGGAAGGGCCATCAATTCCTCTATGCAAAGTCCATACCCTGTGGGGGCTACTGCTGCCTCCCAATGTTTTCTCGGTTCTGCTTCGGGGCCGATCAACCCGCGCACCTGAAACATAGCAAAAACCACTGGCAGCCTGAGTGGCGCTTGGACTTGATGCCTTCCTAGATCGCAATCCCTCTCCTGCTGTAAACTATACATAAACCCTGAACCCTAAAGCCCTAGCTTCCGAATTAGATTTCAAACCATGAAAAACCCAAACTAAACTGGGTCTAGCGCCCTAGCCTAGGTCTCCTGCAAGCGACAAACCCTGAAAACCAATATAAGGGCCTTAATAAATATAGGGTCTTGGGGGCCCAGTATACTATGTTCATAGTAAGGAACCCCCCAAAATTGTATTGGTAGTTATTTAGGCCCCTATAATACAAACCCTGCGCCTTCATGCACTCAGCTTTAGACTTTCCCTTTGGGATTTGGGGTCGACCTGTTCATGTTGTGGGGGGTTTACGGTCTATATTTACATACTTGCTTCGGTCTTCGGGGGTCTTGACTTAGACTTAGGGTCTACTGCGTTATGTTCCGGTGTGTTTCCGGTCGACCTTTTTCGGTTTTGGGGGATTTAGGGTTCAGATTTGCCTCGGAGCGTTTGTCTTGTCTAGGATCTTGGGTCAAGGTTTCGAGGGTTTTGTGTAGCTGCTGAGTCTGCCATGATTCCCGGCACCGTTCACCCGCTTGGCTGTCACGGGAATATGTAAGTGCAGACAGGTTCGTTGAAGGCTGTCTACTCAGCTCTTGAGTAAGGCCTACAGGCCAAGCAGAACCGCGGCCAGAAACTGCAAAAGCGGAATGATCACCGCCTGAACTCGGACCCTTAACCCTAAAACCCTAAAATCCTAAACCCTAAAACCCTAAACCCAAAACCCAAAACCCTAAACCCAAAACCCAAAACCCTAAACCCCTTAACCCCTACCAAACACTCAAAGCTTGAGCCTGAAAGCCCGACCCCCCCAGCACTAAAGCAATAACACAAGTGCAACACCCTCCTGACAGAAACACTCTAGAGACCCATTTAGAGCTGCTCAACCCACCGAACCCGCAATATAAGGGCATTTTTAAATTAACACATAGCATAGGGTTTTGAGGCCCATTGTACTATAATTATAACAAGGAGCCCCTCAAGATAGTATAGGTAACTATTGAGGCCCCTCTATTACCCTGAACCCCCAAAAGCCCCGCAGTGGTACCAGGATGGAAGTCATCTCCAAGTCTGGTGACCAGTAGATCCTCACGTCATTGTCGGGCCAGTTGGCTGGCTTAGGGTTTCGTACCTATGGATGTAGGGCTCAAGACTCATATTTTCAGGCTGAAGTTTTGAAGTTTCCGTTTCGTTGTTGTTGTTGTTGCTGTTGTTGCTGTGTTTGTCGTTGTTGCTGTTGTTGCTGTTGTTGTTGCTGTTGCTGTTGCTGTTGCTTTTGCTGTCGTTGTTGCTGTTGCTGCTGCTGTTGCTGTACTGTTGTTGCTGTCATCGTCGTCGTCGTCGTCGTCGTCGTCGTGGTTGTTTGTTGTTGCTGTTGCTGTTGCTGTAGCTGTAGCTGCTGCTGCTGCTGCTGCTGTTGCTGCTGCTGGTGCTGTTGCTGTTGCTGTTGCTGTTGCTGTTGCTGTTGCTGTTGCTGTTGCTGTTGGTGGTGTTGGTGTTATTGTTGTTATTGTTGTCTGTTGTTGCTGTTGTTGTTGTTGCTGTTGTTGTGGGGTGGGTTGTTGTTGTTGTTGCTGCTGTTGCTGGTGTATTTGTTGTTGTTGTTGCTGCTGCTGCTTGCGTTGGTATGTTTGTTGTTGTTTCTTCTGCTGCTGCTGCTGCTGGTGGTGGCGGTAGTAGTAGTGGTGTTTGTGGTGGTGGTGATGGTGGTGGTGGTGGTGGTGGTGGTGGCGGCGGTGGTGGTGGTGGTGGTGGTGGTGTGGTTCTGGCTGTTGTTGTTGTTGTGGTTGTTGCTGATGGTGGTGGTGATGTTGGGGGTGATGTTGCTCTTGCTGCTGTTGCTGCTGATGTTGTTGCTGCTGCTATTGGTGACATTACCATTGTTGCCACACTGATGACTAATGTTGCTTTACTAAACCACCAGTCCTCGTAATATCATTGTTATTCCATGTCTGTTCAGTGTTGTCATGATCGTTGCTATCAAAATATTCTTCCCAATATTACTGACCATATTGTGTTACTCGTACTATTCGTATCCTACTAATACTGCTAGCATCTTTTTGTGTCATGAATATTGGCGATGTGGTAGTTTAAATATTGCTATAGCTTTACTTATACCATACTTATTGTGAGTTTTATGATGACTACTGTTGTTATCATTATCATTAGTGTTGTTACTGCTAGTAGTAGTGAATGATGATGATCATGGTGATGATAACGATGACGGTCATGATAATACAATAGCGGGCTGTTTAGAGCAGACTCTAGAGCTGTTTTTGTCTCGCATCTACAGTTCAGGGAATCCGGGCTTTCTTGAGGGCCTAGTTCATCATAGTTCATCCTTACAAGCAAAATGAGAATGTATTGGTTACTATGACGCCTCTTGCTTTTGCTAGTATTCTAATTGATTCTAGAAATTGTGAATGTTAGTGTTGTCGCAACTTGCGCTTCGGGGTTCGGGGGCTTAGTTCCTCTGGAGTCGTCGGTTGAACATTTTGCGGGTGTTGTGCTGCAGTTCGGCGTTTGCACTGGGGTAGTATAGCTGCTACTCTGTCCGAAACCCTCGGCATCAAGTTGCCATGAACAGAAGTGACAGCCCTTCAACCACAGAACACTTAACCTGTCGATCCCACACTCCCAGTGCAGAGGTACCAACTTTGATGAGAAAAAGAATGCCTTCTCCTACCTGGAGCCACCTGACACCCGCAGCCCCAAAGCCTAGTCCATTGTAAGAGCTTCGTCTGATCTTAGGTCCAGCATCACGCAACTCCAACCAGATTTGCATATTTACAACGCGAGCACCATGTAGAGGCTGACAGTACCTGACCTGTAGTCTCTGCTGCAGTTGGTGCCATCTGCGCCGCTCACGCCCCACACTGCCGAGGGGAAGACGGCCTCCGTCCGCAATTGGCAGTGTGTAGGCTTTGGCTTCCGGGGTCTTGGCTCTGACTCTACAAATGTTGGAGTTTTGGATGCGGGTTAAGGGTTTGGGTGAGCTCTAAGCCCTAAATATCACGAACGTTTAAGTTTTGCTTAAACGTTCATGGGACCCACTAGATAGCACTGCTCATGGAGCAACTGTAATCTCAGATATAGCATCTAGAACCCTACCTAATTATCGCTGGAAGGAACCGCAGCATGCGCCTGCGCTGACCCCATAATTCTTGACGCCTCAGTCAAAGCCTCAAGCCCTAAACCTTGAAACTCAAAACCCTCACCCCCCCAAAGCCTAAAACCTTTGCCCCCAAACCCCTGCTAGATCGCACCCTAAGCCCGCAAACCTTAAATCCGATAGGATGTATCAAAAGAAGAACCCGGGCACAGCATCCTGCCATTACTTGGGCTACGACAAGGTCTTTCCCGAGGGTTCCACTCTTCATAATCAGGCGCTTACAGACGCTGAAGGAAACCAATGCGCTTTTTGCGGACCCCGCCACTTCCGATTCGAGCAAGGAGTTTGCTTGCAGAGGCCGGAAAGAGGCTCGGACAAAGCGGCACTCGTAATGTCGGAACTCGATTAAGAAGCCCTGGTCCTGTAATTCCAAAAGGGTTGGGATAGGGCTCAGGGCCAGGGTTTAGCGTGTGCTTCAGGGAAAAACACGATAACCGTTGACCCCCCCCAACGCGCAAAGAACACATCAATTTCACTTCGGGGGCCGGCATCTCTTCAATGCCCAAACCCCAATTGCAGAAACCACATCTGTAAAGACACTAAAAAAGCACATAAGCAAATACAAGGTTCGGGACATCCCATATGGGAGTTTCCGAAAATTAGGGGTACCTTGTTATGGGGTCCTTATAATAAGGATCCTACTATTTAGGGTAGTATATTAAGGTCCCGTATTTTCAGAAACTCCCATATAAAACCCCCTTATACTGAAGCCCCAAAAAGGTGGGGATATCCCTGTAAAATGCTTCTGCTCATGGCTTAATTCTACAAAACTGACCCTACCTGGACCCTAAGGAACCTACCTTTTTAGGGCCCCCTAATATGATTTCTTTATATAAGTCCCTAAAAAGGTAGGTTATTTTGGGTTAAGGAAACCCTAAACTGGCGCTAAGCCCTAAAGCCTAAACTAGCCCTAAGCCCCAAACTGAAAGCCGATTGTTCCGAGGCTTGTGTGTGTGAATTAAGCTGGCAAAGCGGGTCAAAGCCTTCAGAGCGGTCCTTTAGGCTTTAGTGTTTAATTTACCTTAACCCCACGTAACCTACCTTTTTAACGACTTATACAAGAAAATCATAATAAGGATCCCTAAAAAGGTAGGTTATTCAGGGTTAAGGTAGCGTTTATAGGCTTTAGTGGGCTCTTTTCTTAGAACAGGGTCTTGAGGCAATGATTCTGTACTGGTCGTACAGGCTTTCACAGGGCTTGGAGAATGGGGTCTTACTGACCAGGAGAGGGCTTTTGGTGTTCATGATGCTATACTTGTACAGGTGTGTACCTAGCTCTCTATATATCTAATTATCAATTACCTATCTGCCGATCTATCTATCTATATATCCGTCCATCTAGTTATCTACCCATCTATCTAGCTGTCCATCCTATCTACCTGCGTGCCTTTATCTTCATGTATACCCCTTCTGTGTTTATATGTGTATCTGTATCTATGTCTGCGTCTGTATCTATATTTGATGCTACAGCTCCTTCTGTCCATCCCGCATCTATCAGTATCGATCGCCATCAACCAGTACCTACCGCTAACTATCATTCTCTATCTATCTACCTGCCAATCTATCTACCTGACCTACCTATCTATCTGTCTGTGTGTCTATCTAGTAGAACGGCTATAAGAATATGCTGCTACGCATAGTTCAGACCCGTATAGCAGGACGGCAGCTCTCTTTAGTGTCGTTTGCAGAGTATTCACTGTACCCAGACCCCCGGGAGGATCTAGAACGTAGATCCCCTAATTTGGGGCCCTATACTACTAAGGGTACTTTACAGGGTTTCGGGTTTAGGGATCCTTATTATAGGAACCCCCATTAAGGGATCTACTTTTTGGATCCCCCCGGGGTCTGGGAAAAGCCCTGGTGGGTGTGGCATCCCTAGGCCTTGACCTTGACCTTGGCTGCCAGATTTACTAATGTGGGAGTTTCCGAAAACTAGGGGTACCTTATTTTGGGGTCCTTATAGTAAGGATCCTACTATTTAGGGTACTATCTTAGGGTCCCCTATTTTCGGAAACCCCCATGTAGGAACCTGATTCAGAAACCTTGGGCCTTTACTAGGGTCCCTCATATGAATCCAACTATTTTGGGGTTATAAGCCCAGGGTTTCTTAATCACGTTCCTACATTAGGTGTCGGCTTCAACAGTCCCCGAAATCATGCATGATTAGGGCTCTGGATGTAAGGCTTCGAGCTTGTCAAGTTGGCTGAAGTGTCAAGACGTCTGCCCAGCTGCGGGTGTATTATTCTCGTATAACTTTAGAAAAGAACTACGAGGGATCTTTATTGCTCATTTTTCGACCTGTATCAAGCTACCTGAATTGAACATCTAAGTTAGTCCGAGAAGGGAGTCCAGCGGTTCGGCGTCGAAGGCTCGTAGGACTTTTCGGGGTGACCGGGGTGGAAGGGCTCTCTTAGGGTTTTCCTCCTGGTTCCTCGAAAGCCTTGAGAGCTCTATGAAGCTTCAGGGCTCTGAAGGGGAATACAGGAACATCCGAACTTCCAAAAAACCGGTATCGGTGCATGCCTCCTGCAGGCACAGAACCGGCAACCGGTGCTGCAGTCAGATCCTTTCACCAATATGTACTGAAGCTACCTTTTAGGGATCCTTTGAGGGTTGCTCCCTTACAGATTCATTTATGTAAAGGCGCTTCGGGACAATTCGTAGACCCTTCAGTCAAGAAGGATATATACCTTGTTCAGGATTCCCACGGCAAAACTGAAAAGAGAGTGCTACTTATTTCTGGGGAACCCGGAATAACAAATCGTAGTTTATACAACCCATGGCATGACACAATGGACAAGGTAGCTCGACTTATCCCTATATATTCGCCAGTGCTCGCTTTCCTGCTGTTCAACTGCCAGTATTAAGAGCGAGACCCCCCCCCTCTCCTTCAACAAAACTACCAAAACTGCATGGTGCTACTAGCCGACCTTAAGAAGGAGACCCCTGATTTCACGGCACTCCACACAACCGCTCTAAAACCCTTTAACTATGGTTTCACAGGCTCCAACAAAATTGTCAAAACCAGATTAGGCATTGTACTTGCTTAGAATGGGCATGAAGTGATTGTGGTAATTATGCTGAACAAACCTGGATCACACTTACGTCCTAAAACTCCTAACCCCCTAGCGCCAAGCGCATAGACCGCAGCACCACAAAACTGTCAAAAACGAAGCGTCGGCCAACTCGACCCCGAAACACGCACAGGGCGCTGGGTTGAAGTTGGCCAATTTAGACTATGGACAAGGGCAGCCAGCTTGCTCTCACAAGCACGGAGACTCAAAGATGTTCTACACATGGCACATGCCTTGTAGGGAGGGATTTTCTTCTGGCATTCAACTGCCCTCCGCCGTCATTCTCGCAATCACCACCGCTGAGCATCATCATCTAGACTGAAGGAGCAATCACATATCCATTGGTTTACACTACGGAGACACAACAGCTAACAAACGGTCATGAATGCAAGAGGCTTGCTAAGGAAACAATGACCCCAAACTATCATGCTAGCAATTTCTAGGTCTGGTACTGACACAGGAAGATAGTATTGCACCCTGCCCAACATCCATCCTGGCTTCCTCGCTTGCTACAGCTGGCAGGAGCCAAGGCAATAATCAGACTGGTCTTTCCGAGGAAGGTGCGCCACTCACGGCTCTCTCTATTCAGAGCCAACCCTCAACCCTGGAATATGAGCCTTTGGATTGCGTGGGTTACCAAGGGCGTGCCAATGTATTGCTTTTACATCGGGATCTTTCACTTCCTGGTCGTGCAACCTTAATCACCTACGCATTGATTTGGGGGCAGGGGGGATGGGGAGCCTCGTCACATCAACGGTTTTTTTGTGGTCAAGGGGGGTGGGAGGTAAGTGTCGAGCAAGCTCTGGAATTCAGGAGGTCGCAGGGAGGGAGCCAGTGAAATTTTTTCGCGCTTACAGTTCAGGGCTCAGAGAAGGTGTTGGAGTGGAGCATCCCTAACACCCCCAAACCAATCCTATCCCTGAATCGTAAAGCCCAAACTACCTCAACCATAGGTTAGGCTTACAAGTAGGGTTTAGAGTCTACGACTCGGGGTCTAGCGGGTGCAAAACCACGTTTTGCACCCTCAAACCCAAACTCAGCGAAAATCGTCGGAAACTCCAGGCGCCAGTTTTTCCCTGAAAAGACGATCCTGGCAAGAATAAGACTCAGGTGGTGTGCCTGCCATTCCACAACAGCCACTCGACTTTCTAGCGTTGAGGGCCTTAGTACTGCCCATGCATACTTAAAGGCTCATGGGACATAGTAACTAAGGTTACTATTGGGGTAACTATACTAATAGTACTTATAACCCCAATTAAAGTACTTATAAACATACTTACTAAGTACCATGATCCTAGAAGTAGGCTGTCGACCCCAACATTGTGCCTGTGGGTCTTCTTAGACTTTCATGCCTTCCGTCAAGACATGGAGCCCTTCACCCTTAACCTACAACGATGAACCCACCTACCAAAAGCCCTCTAAAGCCCGGAAACTCAAGGCCATAAAGAAGAAGAAGGATGATGGGAACAAGGCGCACCCGGCCCCTCCCTTGTCAGAAAGAGCCTTTGGATCGATGGTAGACCGACACGCCTTTAAGACCTAAAGCCTATCTCCATGGCTTGGCGATGCATCCGTACTGCGGCCATAACCAGTGCCCTTCTCGTGATAATTCCCCAGGCTGTAGTTACAGTAGCTATTTACGGCTGCTTTGCGCAACAGTTATAAGGGCCCATTGCTGCTTGTTCTACGTCAATACCCCATGATGGTTTTAGTAAAATCGTAGAGCCAAGATGAATCAACACCGATTCCCGAGCCTTAAACAGTGGATCACCAATGGGTCGTAGGACCCCAAACCACACTGCACTGAAAACATTTCCTAAATCCCCAAATCCTGAAACCGTGTGAAAGCCTTGAAATCCTTAGCGGGGTCTGCGGCGGTTGTCAAAACCCAGAGTATCGGACGCCATATTAAGAGTAGTCTATCGCTTTGGGGGTTCCCAAAAGGCGACCATGCATGATATTGACGGATAATTACTGACTCACATTGTCCCTAGACCCTAAACCTAAACCCAAATATACATGGGAGTTTCCGAAAAGTAAGGGTACCCTGTGTTGGGGTCCTTATAATTATAGGGTCCTACGATTTAGGATAGTGTATTAGGGTCCCTATTATCGGAAGTTTGAAAGCCCCAAATGTTTTTTGCTGTTGCTCTGGCGTGGACACCGATGACGGCCCCCAAGCAGGGCCTAAGGCTTCCCCGAGCGATCCCCACCAGGGTGCGACGGTTCTGGACCCTAAACCCTAAACCCTTCTGTTCCAATCCGACTGGCGTTACTTCAGATTTCAGGGTTTGAGGATCCTTTTTAGGATTTAGGGTTTAGGGTTTAGGGGTTACTTCAGATTTCAGGGTTCGAGGATGTTGTTTAGGGTGGGGTTTAGAGTTGCTAGACAGCTCTGCTTGCTTCATTTAATCGCTATATTTCTGCTAGGGCTTACGGATAAAGGTTCCTGGAAACCATATGTACCCAGAGGCCCCAAAGTAGTTCCTTTTTGGGATTACCCTATAGGATTCTATATACGAACCCCAAAAAGGAACTACTTTGGGGCCTTTGGGTAACCACCACAAGGTACCGGCTCCAGGCGGTAGGAATCGGGCTGGGTTTAAAAATTTAGGGTTTATCGGTTGGGTGAAGGGTGCATGGACGCAACTTGCACTCAAGTCCTGAAGAATTTGCATTGAGAGCTTAGGGTCTTAGGGTTCAGGGATTGGGGCTGTCAGGGTTTAAGGTACCCTAAGGAACCCTAAGGAACCTTAAGGAACCCTAAGGAACCCTAAGGAACCCTAAGGAACCTTAAGGTACCCTAAGGTACCCTAAGGAACCCTAAGGAACCTTAAGGAACCTTAAGGAACCCTTAGGGTTTGTGAGGGCCCTGAGGATTTAGGAAACAGGACTGAACGCATCAGCTTTTGGGCTGAGCCGCTGAACTTGTTTCGACCTGTGGGGTCCCCATTTCATGACACCCTACTAAGATCAGGAGTATAAATTTCTATGCATCTGCATATATGTACACATAGTATATATATATATATATACAGAAGGTATATGTATACTCGGACGCCGTAGGAGTCTCATCTTCAGAATTTCCCAAAGGGGGAGAAGAACCTGGGGCATCCACTGAGGCGGAGATCGCAACCCTACCCAAAAAGCAAACGTGCTTTGCTTTGTAATGAATATCCGTGCCACGGTGAGCTCAATCACCTGGCGTGGGTCCAGCTTTTTCCACCTATTCAGGTCCATATAAAAAGCAAAACCTTGAACACGTTATAACACCATGAGGACCCTCCCAAATATGAGGGGTTGACCGCCCTAGCCTGGCGAACACCATCGCTTAATCATGGTAATGAAGGCACAGCATACCCCAAACAGGTTGAGGATTATCTGCCCAGCGTCTACGACATCATCCCAGCAACTCCGGCAAAGCCTCACAAGTCGCT